TGTCACATCGGAGAAGTACGTCTGAGGAGAGTGACTTCAAAGGTTTAGCACATGTGGAGAATGCTAAAGCCTGGTTAGTTGTCCTCTTACTATATCACTTTAGCAATTGAGTTCTACAACAGTGCCTCTACGAATGGAGAGAAGAAAGGAATGGAAAAAAGGGGGGGGGGGATCTGTAGGTTGTGCCTTGTGTCGAAAAGTCTTCCCGACAAAAGGAGTTCGTGGCGGCGTGTCCCGCCAAGTTGTAGCTGGCGGTACCAAGATGCGGGGCAGATTCTAATAGTATGCGCCAGGGGGAGCCGTGTCATGACCTCCAGCCTTCAATTCACGCATGGGAAAGAATTCCTCCTTCCATCTATCACTAGATCAGAGGATGTGTATGGAAGGATGACAAGCTTGCTCTTTTACCAGTTGAGAGCATCCATACAGGAGGAAAATGGCATCAGTTCATGTTGACGAAGATTCTTTCAAAGGAAAGTTTGAATTACTGTCGCGGATAAGTTTGCATGGATGATGAGAGAATATGGCTTAATGTTCCCACTTAAGTGTGCAGGGGGAGAATTGTTGTGCGCGCTCTGTGCCCACTAAATGGGACCACATGTGTGAAAAAGTAAGAAAAAAAAAAATAGGAGCAGCCAGATTTCAACAGTGATTAAGCACATGGCGGTGCAACTTGAAAGGAGTTTTACACGGCATTCCTACGCGTTTAACCTCCCTATTAATAGAGGCAGATGCAACCTCAGCACAACACACAGCAGAAATTGAGAGAAAGACAGAAAAACAAAAATGTAGCGAGAGAGTTTTCTAGTTAGGATGAGTTATCCTAAACACTAGGGGAGAGGAAAAATAGTTGAGGGTAAATTATTGGGTTGTTTTTGGGAAACGCTGTGAGTGCCACCTATTTTTTGCATTACTCTCTTTTGTGTACCTACTATTTTTAATTAGTGGAGGGAATTATCGAGTTTGTCCGTGGACGTAGCCCTAAACAGTTGAGGTAGTGAAACTCGTAAAATTTCTGTGTGTCCCATTTTCTTATTTTTTCCGCTTGCCGTGTCCCATTTCTATTTTTCCGCTGCCGTAATAATTTTCTCTTAATTGGTTGAAAGGGCCCAACGAGTGGTATCAGAGCTGATGCCTAACAATTGGTATCAGAGCTGAGTCAAGTGGTACCTGAGCCTAACAACTAGTATCAGAGCTTGGTTCCTAACACTAACTGCGGGGGTCAATGTGGGTTTGTAATGTATCTAGTTGGTTCTATATGTAACTTTTTAAAGTATGAAAATTAAAAAAGAAAGGGTTTGGGGACCTATATGTAATTTTCAAATGATGAAGTTTGGGGGGCATGGCCTCATTACCGTACATCCATGTTGGACACTAACATATTGTTTTGACAGGGTATTTGATAGGTTTGGAAAGTAATTTTAGCCCTTATGTTAAATTAGCTGATTATTGAAGTAGATATAATTAAATAACAAGAAATTAGATTATTTGAATAGCTTTATATATATAAATAGGAATATTATTAGATTATTTGAATAGCTTTATATATATAAATAGAATATTTTTATTTATTTTCCAAGGATCAATTATTATATTATATTGTTAATTACTACTCCTTTATTTAATTGTAATTGAAAATAAATGTCTAATTGTGCACTTACATCACGATATTTAATTGTTTGATGTGCCTGCATTTAATAACAATGCTTGATTATTTGTGTTATGAAAATGTTATGCCTTGTTTGTGTGGAATTGGGATGAAGTGGATCACCATGGATTTGTGAGGGCGGTCCTTGATACCGTTGACCATGTATGGAGAGATCAACGTCCCCGTGTGCACCTGATGATATGATATGAAAAAACCATAGGGTGGCCTCCTGTTGGTATAGAAAAGAAAAGATAGAATGGAAAAACAAGGAGAGGGCTGGTCAAGTGAGGATTAGACCGATCGGCCATGTATAGGGGATTGGCTCCCTAGTGCACACGTCATGAGAGGATGGACCACGTGGGAGGACGGCTCATCGGGGGTTTCGATGACGCCACAAACCAATTTCCACGTGATGTGATTATATGAAGTTGTTAATAATTGTGCATGCTGTTGTTATGCTATTTGTGTGACTGTCAGCGTGATCATATAACTGGTCGGATAACTAGATTGATATATTTACACATTCATATGAATGCATGTGTTGTGCAATTTATTCCTTGTAAGACTCACATGTCTTGTTTAACTTTTCAGAAAGTAGACTTTTCTAAACCTTAGTTAAATCTCTGTTTCCTTCACACGGAGCTAGAAAAGAAAATATTTAATTTCAGTTTTTAGTGTATTGTGAGTTTACAAAATCTAATTGTTCTATTTGATATTGAACTCCGCAGTCATAGGAATAAAATCAATAAATTGATGAAGATGTTCAATTAATAATTTTATGAAAATGCTTGAATCTATTAGCCCATATTATGTATATATTGTATTATTTTTGGGCCCGAGCTATAAATTGTTTAAGATGTTTAAATTTGGGCTAAAGAATAATAAATTATGATATTTATGGTGCTTGACAATATGGGCTGGATGTTTGAAATAGACATTGATATAGTTAACTTTTGTAGTTTAGGCTTACTGCAGGTTTCATGGGCCTTAAGTTTGCCTAGACCCTAGTACCTGTCTGGCCCATGGAAGCGGGTCGTGATAGAACTGGACTGGCCGATTTGACCAGTTTAATCAGAAACCGGACTATGATCGTGTTCGAGTGGGGCAAATAAAACAGGAGGCAAAAAAATTGCTCAGAACCGATATAAATTGGTAAGAACCGCAAATCGGTTTGAATAATTACTACGGTTCAAATCAAAACAACAAAAAAAAAAGGAAAACGGAAAGAGAATATTGGAGTGTGTGGGTTGCTCGTGGCCGGACCACCTTCCCCTGAAGTGAATCGGCGAGATGCTTCGCCTGGTGTCGACAGTGAGACTTACCTGCCGGTGGTAGAACTGCAATTCCCGTTTGAAAATTTCTCTCTCCTGGGTATTTATCAACCAGTGAAATTACTGAATCAAGTATGGTGGGGCACAGAAAAATGAGGAAATGAGTTAATGTCCATTTGTAACTTGTCACTATCAGGTGAAATTACTTATTATGTTTAAGTGAACAAAATTTTATCTTAGAAAGTGTTTTGGCGAGAATGTGTCCCTTACCTGCAACCCACCAAACAGAAACCAGAAGAACAAAAAGGAAAAACCAAAAAAGTTAACTTTACTATCAAGATATTTTTGGACACTCCAAAAGGATAGTGATCTAATGAAATATATATATATATATATATAATGTGTTGCTTTGTTTCCCACTGGAAACTAGTTATTTGGCTCCAGAATGTATTATGTATGTGTTAATTTTCGAAAGTTACCAAATGGAAAAGAACAAAGATAGGCTCTGAATATCGACTTCATTATAGATGCAGCAGAACTAAATCTGCCCTACAAAATTACCCTGGGACAATATTCAAGATAGAACTTATAAATTCATGTTAAATTTTTTTAAGAACGAAAAATTTGAGATGGTTTTAAAGAACATGTTAGCATTCTATGAACTTGTGTACACCTTAATCACTGCTCAAAAATTTTTCTTTGATATATATTTTATAATTAAATAGAATTGCAATTAATATTTTAGAGTCCATTTAAATAATTTATACCGTCATGTTGTCCATTTTAAAAATAACTAACTTATATTTTAAGTTCGTTAAATATTGTCTTGTTTCCGTTTTTAAACGGAAAATTGCTATGAAATGACTTCAATGATTTTGACTAATTGACAAAATCAATTTTGCACTGAACCCAACTCAACTATAGAATATTAATTTCTGCATCTTGTGCCTTGCCGGAGCATCACCGATGCCGCAGCCGGACAATCATTTCACTTAAATCAACTGCAGATCCATCACCGATTTTTTTGGTCAGTTTGAAAAAATAAACAAGGAATAAAAGGACAGAGGCAAGGTATTATTTAAGAATGTTAGCTGGAGCTCAAACACCATGGACGTGGGAGCTCTACAAAATCATCTGCCTCAATCCAAGGAATAAAAGGACAGAGGCAAGGTATTATTTAAGAATGTTAGCTGGAGCTCAAACACCATGGACGTGGGAGCTCTACAAAATCATCTGCCTCAATCCAACGGCCCTTGTGTTTTCTAAATCTTAACCATCCATTCTTATCCAATATCTACCGCTAAAGATTTAACTGGTGGATGAGATTATAATCTCTCAATGATATTTTTATACATGTTTACGTTCTCTCTTTAGACCTTGACAGTTTGCGTTGACTTATTCTTTAAAAGTGAAAAAAATGGACAGAATTGATACATAGTTTAAAGGACTGAAAATATGAGAATGTAGTTATTTTAAAAAAAATATAAAGGTAAATTAGTTCTTTTTAACAAAACATAACAGTACGATTATAATTTTTCCAAAATGATATTTTTATACTAAAATAGTAAAATTACTTGACACAGTTTAATATATATTTTATTATAATTAATAGAAATGTAGAAATAATTACAAGTAAAGAAATAATTACCAGTAATCTTCTTACATCTTGTTGTAAAAGTTGTCGGGAGTGAGAGATTTCAAGTTTAAATATTTTATTTTCACAAATTTGATAAGCCAGAGAGAGGGTTGCACAATAAATTACCCCCATGAAATGAGAAATCTCGAGTTCAAATATTTTATTTTCAAAAATTTGATAAGTCAGAGAGAGAATTACACAATAAATTACCCCCTTTGTATGATCCGCGGTCTTATTTCGGTCCCTTTTCAATAACTAAGGGAAGGTAATTGTCTGCTTTATCCCTCCCCTTGGCTGGCTCACTTAAAATCGACCATGGACAAAAATAATTACAAAATATACCCTGGAACGAATTGTTCCATGTATCACTGCTCAACTTTTATATAAGTGCCAATCAAAGACACAGAGAAAGGAAAAAAACTAAGGCCGCTAACCTTGTTCTGAAATGACGAGCTTGAGTAAATTTGCTGTTGCTTTTTCTTTAAAATGCATAATCTTCAACCTCCTGCTGGTGCAGCTGAGCCTCCAAACTCTCTAGCCTCCAAAACTCTTCTCCATTGGAGGGACATGATACAGATTATCCTTGCCTTTGTTTACCAGTTCAAGGCAAATATGCATGGACCCTCAAATCTGATTTGAAGCTCCTGGAACGATTTCACTCCATTTCTGCAATTGGGAAGGATCACATGTGGCCGCAAAATAGAAGAGTGACCGTTCTTCATCTTCAATCTAAAGGCGTTCTAGGTGGTTCTCTGTCTCCTACGTTGGTTCTCTGTCTCCTTACGTAGGAAACATGAGTTTCCTTAGGAAGCTTAGCCTTCCAAACAACGACTTGCAAGGTGAAATCCCACCTGAATTCGGCTACTTGTTCAGGCTTCAAATTCTAGATCTTGGCAACAACTCCATTGAAGGGAAAATCCCAGTTGAGTTGTCCAACTGCTCTAATCTTCAGGGTCTTGCGTTACCGCGCAACAAACTAGCGGGAAGTATTCCATTTCAGCTTTCCAGTTTGTCTAAACTTACTGCACTTTTTATTCACAAAAATTATTTGAATGGAACCATTCCACCTTCCTTGGGCAATCTTACCTCATTGGAAATCTTAGGTGCAGCAGGAAATTTCTTGTTTGGAACTATTCCTGATACCCTTGGCCAGCTCAAGCATTTGTCAATTTTTGATATTTCAACAAATAAACTCGCAGGTGTAATTCCTCCTGCCATTTATAATATTTCAACCATCACCGGTTTTTCTGTGTACGAGAATCTACTTCATGGAAGTATTCCATCAAATATTGGCCTTCTCCTTCCACAACTTCAGTTCATACAGATATGGGGAAACAATTTTAGTGGTTCCCTTCCGGTTTCGTTATCAAATGCTACGAAACAGATCGATTTATCACTTAACAACTTCATTGGAAAAGTAGATGTTCACTTTGAAGCCCTACCTTTACTGAGTTTCTTAATGTTGGGTGGAAACAGTCTTGGAAGCAAAGAAGGTGATGATTTGAATTTTATTACCTCTTTGCTCAATCATAGCCATTTGAGTGTATTAGATTTGGAGCATAATAGGCTAAATGGAATTTTGCCGAATTCGAAAGCTAATCTATCTTCATCTCTCCAATTTCTCTCTCCAATTTCTAATAATTGGGCATAATCAAATATATGGAACACTTCCTCAATGGCTTTTTACTCTTGTTAGCTTAACAACAATGAGTATAGAAGTTAACCAAATTACAGGTACTATTCCCATGGAGATTGTTAATCTTGAAAATTTGCAATTGCTAATTCTTGATCATAATAGATTATCAGGACCAGTTCCATCATCCATAGGCAATCTATCATCATTGATTCGGCTTCATTTGCATAACAACAATTTTCATAGTACCTTACCTTCTAATCTTGAAAATTGGCGTAACATGTTGTTCTTGGATCTTTCTAGAAGCAACTTCATTGGTTCCATTCCTAAACAGCTTTTTTCTATCCCTACCATGCTAGTTTCAATAAATTTATCTCTAAACAACTTCGAAGGAACACTTTCATCAGAAATTGGCAATTTGTTCAATTTGAATGAATTGTATGCTTCAGAAAACAGCTTGACTTGTATGCTTCAGAAAACAGCTTGACAGGCAAAATTCCAAATGAACTAGGTAAGTGCAACAGACTTGAGATCCTATTTATGAATGGTAATAATTTTCAAGGTACATTACCTTCATCATTTGCTTCTTTGAGAGGTCTTCGAATCTTGGAACTGTCTCGAAACAATTTATCAGGCAAAATTCCTGAATATCTAGAGAAATTTTCATTGGAATATCTGAATTTGTCTTTTAAAAATTTTGAGGGTGAGATTCCAATCAAAGGTGTTTTTGCCAATGCAAGCGCAATATTTGTTGAAGGCAACAACAGGACAACTGGTTAGGTGGAGGCATACCAGTACTCAAGCTACCAAGATGTTTAAATCATCAAAAATCAAAAAGAAAACTAGATGTTGTCAAATTTGTTACAATTGCAGCATCATAATGTGTTGGAGATTGCAGACCCAGCACTCTTGCAAGAAGATGAAGGTGTAACGGAAGGAAGGAAAGTTGAATGCCTAATTGGCATAATTAAGGTTGGGGTTTCATGTTCTATGGAGTCTCCTCAAGATAGAATGGACATGGGTACTGCAGTCAGCTCTTCAGAGCACTTACTTGGTATGGGAAGCGTTGGTACTGTCTATAAAGGAAATCTTGAGGAGAATGGAGGATTCACTGCAGTAAAAGTAGTCAACTTTCAACAACTGGGTGGTGGAAAGATTTTCATGGCTGAATGCAAAGTCTTGCAAAATATACGTCACAGAAATCTTGTGCCAATCATAACTTCTTGCTCGAGTATAGATTTTCAAGGAAATGATTTTAAAGCACTTGTTTACGAGTACATGCCAAATGGGAACCTCGAAAAGTGGCTGCATCGATCTGGGTTCTGAAATGCACAATCAGCCAATTGAGCAACTAAGAATAAACCCCTTCTTCAAAGATTGAATTATTTCGATAGTAGTGGGGAATGCACTAGATTATCTTCATCGCGTGTCTGCCACGATCCAATCATTCATTGTGATCTTAAATCCAATCATTCATTGTGATCTAAAGCCAAGTAACATCCTTCTTGACAATGATATGGTTGCTCATATTGGAGATTTTGGTCTAGCAAAATTTCTCCCTCAACTGATGAATCCAGTTCAAAGTAGTTCTCTTGGTGTAAGAGGAACAATTGGCTATACCGCTCCAGGTGATTAATACTCTCCTGTTTGATATATACAGAGTTTAAATTTACTTATTCACTGTCAGAATTGCTTTCTTACTTTCTTTTTTTTGAATTTTGTAAATATTTTAGAATATGGTTTAGGAAGTGAGCTATCAACAAGTGGAGATGTTTATAGCTATGGAATCCTTTTGTTGGAGATGATGACAGGAAAAAAACCTACTGATGGTATTTTTGCAGAAGGTCTTAACCTTCACAATCACAATTTTGCTAGAATGGCATTACCTGATAATGTGTTGGAGATTGCAGACCCAGCACTCTTGCAAGAAGATGAAGGTGTAATGGAAGGAAGGAAAGTTGGATGCTTAATTGGCATAATTAAGGTTGGGGTTTCATGTTCTATTGAGTCTCCTCATGATAGAATGGACATGGGTACTGCAGTCAGCGAGTTGCTTTCAATTAGAAATAATTATGTGCGAATTAGAAAAACAGAGCCTTCCATGCATAGAAGTAAGTAATTTATCACTTCCAATTTTTATCACTTCCAATTTATACTTTGACTTTCCAAAATGTTTGTGAAGAATGATAAAAATGGCTAACAAATAATGGAGCAAAAAAAATAATTTTTTGTACAATGTTTGTTTACACATTGGGTTTTACAAATGAAAATTAGTTTATTATATATAATTGAATCCAATAGGTCCATTGAGCCTTATTGGGTTTTGGCTTCAACCGACAATCATTATGGTTGAGTTGGAAAGAGTTCATCCCAATTTAAGTGCAAAGTGATCAAATCATAGTGCTGTGTATCAAGGATAAATGCAATTTTTATATTTGTGACTCTTCGGCAAAATTAACTGTTTTGTTAACGGTATTTAGCTGTTTGAATAACTTGTTATAAAAAGTGTTAATCTTTTATGTGTCTCTTCAATAAGATTCGTAAGTGGAGTGGAGGACTTTGGACCAAATTGTTGGGAGGCTAAATGCGGGGTCAATGTGGGTTTGTAATGTATCTAGTTGGTTATATATGTAACTTTTAAAGTATGAAACTTAAAGAAAGAAAGGGTTTGGGGACCTATATGTAATGAAAGGGTTTGGGGACCTATATGTAATTTTTAAATGACGAAAGGTGAAAAATAAAAGTTTGGGGGGCATGGCCTGATTACCGTACATCCGTGTTGGACACCAATGTATTGTTTTGACGGAGGTTATTTGATAAATTTGGAGAATAAAATAAGGTAGATGAAGTATTTAGTCATTTGGGAAAAAAGTTTGACAGAGAATATAAGTTTTTGAAAGTTATTTGAGAGGTTTTCTAAACACCCCAGTCTTCAACACCTCGAATTGGGGCATAAACATGATTAAAAATTTTAATTTCTAAAATTATCCAAAATTATATTTATAAATCTTCTATGACAAAGGTATTTTCGTAATTATTTATTATCAAACCAAACAAAACAGTGTTATTAAACTTTCATTTCCCATACATTCTCCACAAACACAAAAAAGCATTTACCATACTTTCCCGTATCATACTTTACTATACCTTACTTTAATGATTCGTCCCTCCCTTACTTTAAATGGAATGCAATTTCAAATTTCAAAATATTTTGGAACAGAATTGGAATGATAGTCATTCCATTCTATAAAAGTTTGGGGGCATGGTATGTAATTTTTAAATGATGAAATGTGAAAAATAAAAGTTTGGGGGCATGGCCTCATTACCGTACATACGTGTTGGACACCAACGTATTGTTTTGACAGAGGTTATTTGATAAATTTGGAGAGTAAAATAAGGTAGACGGGGTATTTAGTCAGTTGAAAAAAGAGCTTGAGAGAGAATATGAGTTTTTGAAAGTTATTTGAGGGGTTTTCTGAACACCTTAGTCTTCAACACTCCGAATTGAGATGTAAATATGATTAAAAAATTTAATTTCTAAAATTATCCATAATTATATTTATAAATCTTCTATGTCAAAGGTATTTTCGTAATTATTTATTATCAAACCAAACAAAACAGTGTTATTAAAAATAGTTAAGTTGTGCGTAAGCTATTATCCATAGATCTACTCATTTGTATAAATCTTCTCATGTCGAGAGATGGTATTTTCGGTAGAGTACATAAATATGTATCAAAACAGATACAACATCAGTCGATACTCTATTACAAAGCTGCTCTCGGATGTCTCCAATGAACAATCAGTTCTCCAGACAAACAACGAGAAAAGCCAACTATGGAAAAAAAAAAAATAAACAAAATAAGTCACCCGTCAGTAGCACATACCTCTCCGCGTATATTCATGAGGCTCTGCTAATGAGGTGTAAATATGGATAACCAATAATGTACTATATGAATAATTCCGGTCTATACATCCAGCTCTCATCCAAACAAACGTTGAGGAAAGTCGCCAAGGGAGATGTTTGATATGCTGTGATACCCAGTAACACTTCACAACGTTGCCTCAGTCTAAGATGTGAACTCACGAGATTCTTACTCTGGGCGGATCAGAGACAGAGCACTATAATAAGAAACTTTTATTCTCTATTGAAGACCGGGACCTGGAAGGTGAACCTCTTGGGATAGAAGATAAGAAAAAAGTACAAACATTTTAGTTGAATGTGAAGACCAAATGTTGACAAATCTCTCAGGTTGCTGTCTATAATCATTCGGCAGCCTCGAAAGATACATTTAATACCTTGTAGTATGCCAAACGATATATTGACCCTCTAATTACTCTAATGTCAGATAGCAGTTCTTCGTACATCACTACAATGACTTAGATATGAAAGGTCAGGCAGTTTAGGTGCTGGACTTGCACTTCTGGTCCTCACCACTCCTCGCACTACGCGCCAAAACCTGACCAATATATATTGGCAGCGACCGGGGTCCTCCAATCTATGATGCTGATATACTATAGTTATTATTAAAATTAATTATCTTAAGCTATTAGTATTATATTAAACGTGAAATTAGATAGAAAAAGTGTACAAGCGTGAAGCTATATAAACCTCCCGCCTATCTTATAAACATGGTAAAATTAAATATTTTAGATTTATTTAGTTATATGTCGAATATTAATTATGTTATTTTAATAACTTTTAAATTAAATGTTTTTTAGTATTTTTTTAGTATTTATATATAAAAATATAGTGATTATTTCTTATTAAATTTAAAAATTTACATCTTACAAAATATCATAATATGTTAGAGTTGTATTTATAGTTAAGAAATTTGAAACTACCGAATTTCAATGGAATGGTATGGAATAGGATTTGAAATTCAAAAAATTATTTGGAATGAAATGGAATGCAATATTAAATTTCAAAATATTTTGGAATAGAATTGGAATGAGGGTCATTCCATTCTATACCCTTTGAATTACACCCTTAAGGCTAAGATGGTTAAAGAATATTACGGACAAATTACATAAAACCCTCCAACTCAAAATCCATACAGAATGCTGCAATAAAACTCGCAAGTGGAGTGGAGGACTTTGGACCATATCGTTGGGAGGCTAACTGCGGCGGTCAATGTGGGTTTGTAATGTATCTATTTGGTTATATATGTACTCTTTAAAGTATGAAAATTAAAAAAAGAAAGGGTTTGGGGACCTATATGTAATTGTTTTAGGGCATGTTGTTTCTAATAGAGGTATTGAGGTAGACAAGTCAAAGGTTGATTTAATTGTGAATTTACCATACCCCACAACTGTGAGGGAATTGTTCTTTCCCTTGGTCATGCAGGTTTCTCTATCCGAGGTTTATTCAAAAATTTTTCCAGTAGCATACCTTTATCTAGATTTTCAAGATAGCAGTACCTTTATCTAGACTATTGCAGCAGGATGTTAAATTTGAGTTTTGTGAAGAATGTAAGGAGGCTTTTAACAAGTTAAAGTCAGCACTAACGACACCTCCTATTATTCAAGCTCCTAATTGGTCTGTACCATTTGAAAATATGTGCGATGCAAGCAATTATGCGGTGGGGGCTGTTTTAGGGCAGCGTGAGGAAAAGCTTTTCATGTGATTTATTATGCATCCAGGACATTGAACTCTGCACAGCGCAATTACTCCACAACTGAAAAAGAGTTCTTAGCTATTGTTTTTGCTTTAGAATAAATTATCGGTCCATACTTGCTTAATTCTAAAGTTGATTTCTGTTTTTTTCTGATTTCATGCCAGCTTTAAAGTTTCTCTTTAGCCAAAGAAGGAAGCAAAGCCAAGACTAATCTAGATGATTCTTCTTTTACAAGAATTTGCATTCTACAAATCAAGGATTAAGAAAGGTCTGAGGAATTTACGGTAGCTGATCATTTGAGCAGGTTGGTGGACACAAAGAGGATCAATTCCTTTTACAAGAATTATTTCCTGATGAGCAATTGTTTAAATTACAAGGTATGATCCCTTGGTATGCTGATTTGGTGAATTATTTGGTTACTAAGACTATGTCTTTTGATTTAAGTAGAGCTAAAAAAGAAAAATTGAAGAGTGAATCTAAGTATTATGTATGGGATGAACCATATTTGTGGAAATTTTGTTCTAATCAAATTATTAGGAGATGTGTCCCTGATAATGAGATTGAATCAATTCTTGTTTTTTGTCATTCATTTGCATGTGGTGGTCATTTTGGACCTAAGAGAATAGGTAGAAAGATAGTGGATTGTGGTTTTTATTGGCCTACCATTTTTCATGATGCATATATTTTCTGTAAAAATTGTGAACAGTGTCAAAGAACAGGAAGTATATCTATCTCGAAGGAATGAGATGAGTCAGACCCCAATACTTGTATGTGAAATTTTTGATGTGTGGGGAATCGATTTTATGATGTTGGGGAAATCGATTTTAAATGGGTCCATTTCCTTCCTTCTTTTGGTTTTACTTATAATTACTTGCTGTTTGTTATGTTTCCAAATGGGGTGGAAGCTAAAGCCACCAGAACTGATGATTTCTTAAGTTGTTTGTAGATTTTGTCAAGTCAAATATTTTCAGCCAGGTTTGGAATTCCTAGAGCTTTGATCAGTTGACAGAGGCACTCATTTTTTGCAATAGAGCTGTGGAGGCATTATTAAAGAAAATATGGTGTTTTTTCAATAGAGTTTGCTCTCAGGCCTATCATCCTCAAACACAGTGGGGGCAAAGCTGAGGTATCAAACAGAGAGGTGAAGGTCTATCCCTAGAGAAGAATGGGTGAAGCAAATAGAAAGGGATTGGAGCCTTAGACTTGATGATGCCTTTGTGGGCGTTACAGGAACAGCCTATAAGACACCCATAGGTATGTCCCTTACGGTTGGTTTTTTGGTAAGAATGTGTCCACCTTCCCTGTTGAGATAGACATAAGGCTTTTTAAGGCTGTTAGAAAATTTAATTTTGGAGTTAGAATGCTGCTGTGGTGGAAAGAAAGTTACAAATTGCAGGAAGTTAGAGGAGATTCGTCTTGATGCTTATGAAAAATTCTAAGATTTATAAGGAAAAGACAAAAGCATTTCATGATAAACTAAATTAAAAAAGGAGTT